AAAAGTGTCCCAGGTCCCAGCTAGATCTATCTAGCGTGAACAGAAGTCTGGACTTCTAGAGTGCGGACTTGCGCGGATTGGGTACGTCCAAAAGCAGAAACGGCCTCGTGCAAGTCCGCAAACCGTCTTGGCGGGCCTCCAATGCGGCACATGCTCAGTATGATTTTCTCTGATAGAAACGAGCATAATATCAATTAGCGTGATAGCACATCTAACAAAACAGACTTACAGTATTCGAGATGGGCTGCATATGTATAACTGTAGGGCTAGAAGTATGGAATGATTTTAATAACTAGAGGCTTAGTGTTTTTAATTGGTTGAGCGTTGGAGTCAGCTGCCAGGTGACCGCAGCTGGTAGTCAAGGTGCTCTGCTATCCGGATTTATCCCATCTAAGTACGCAAACGAGGCACATAAGTCGTGTGCACATTTTATTGATACGAAAATGAAACAATCACAACAGACAGATATGATGATGAACACGCCGGAGTGGTGGTAGAATCTATTCTTTAACTATGAGTTAACATCGAAGGTGGGAAGGAAGGTGGGCCAGTCTCCTCCTATTCATAGGTAGGCACACTAAATCCAATACGTTCCATCAGTAGGGCAGAAGCTAGGGGTATCTCGGGTATGTCTCGGCCCCTGCGTCCCGGTGTTAGAGCGATGCGGAGCGTATCTAGCCCACCTGACCAAAACGATTAAGTCGAAAGTCAAGTCAACAGCAAAACCTTGTGTACATATAAGCCTCAAGTCTCAAGTACAGTATCGATAATGCGCAAGTGCGGAACAATATTTCAGGATTTGCAAAAAGGGATCGGCCCAGATTCGACCGACCGGATTTTATGAATCTCCAACAGCATCGACAGAATCCCCAAATTCTTACTAGTGCCGAGGCATTGTCGAATGATGCACACTGCAGTACTTATGTAACAACAACTTGTCCTAGAGAGTCTAGATCTACGCCGTGGCAAGATTTCTCGGCCTTGCGGCACAGAAGATGTCGCTTACTGCGCGCCCATCCCCCCATTGGGATATTTCCGGCGTCAGGACAGATACCTGATTCTGCTCTGAACGCAGTAAGGTCACGCATAACGATATCTGACCAACTTCGAGGGAGCTACGTATAAACATGAAGTGAGTTTTGTAGGTATTCGTTAAACTCACTCTGACCCCATCGTGGGATTTGTTTCCCCCAATTTCAGGGTCTAGCAGGCGTCGATCTTTGCGGGGTACATGGCTACACTTGATCGACCCTCAATAGGACCTGGAGCAGTATCACGATCCAACTGGTCGGTCGTTCGTTGTGTATCTACCATCCCGTGTCTGTTGCTCTTCAACTTGGCGCGGTGAGACGAGGGAACCCAATCGGTGGTTACGAGCCAGTGTCACTCTCGAGTACCTATGTTAATTTAGTTGACGGTCATGGCGAAAATGCGTCGGGTTCTTGGCTAGGAAGTTCGCGGCTGACAATCCTTGCTACCTGTCAATCACAAGCTTCATCGTCCATTGCTTGATAAGGTGCTCAAATCTCTACGCCCTGTCTTGTTTTTGTTGTATTCCATCTTGGCCATTTTACATTGGAGCGACAAGATAGCTGATTAACAATGGATTGGATCGAAATGGCCTGAGGATTACCATGTAGTGTTGTGATAGCCGGTCTAATATAACCCATTTCTCAACAACACGCATAGAGATTGCCACTGTAGAAATGCGATTTTCCTCAGCGTGGAATCCTATTCGGCTCATCCGGCCCCTTGGCATTTTTCTGCATAAATCAAGCTACCTATCTCGCCTATATAACCATTCAACTGCGGGGTGATTGAGGGATTATCGCCAGGCGTCGCATCCGCCGATGTCGTCGCGAAAAAGTTACGGCAATAGAGTTGTAACCGACAGCTACAACACCAATGGTCCTTGGCCCCGCCACGTGTGGACATGCCTGCTTGAGGCACAAAGCAATAATAGCCTGAGACCCTGACATCTGGTCCCTGTCACATTGGTTGCCGGCCTGACCCGGCTGACTCGGCGGCTTCACGTATGGCCACGTCAGACAAGGAAGACAGCGCATGTCCCCCATCAAAACCCCAGAGGCTCCTCAACCAGACCCCATTGGGTCCTTGTCCTTGGTTCTACTCATTACAACGTTGTTCATTGCATCGAGCGATCCCCGATCTGTACAACATCAATCCAATCCCCCCACGACAGCACAAAGTCCCACGGGATTACGGTACGGTATAGCGGATCACATCGCGACAGAAGAGGACAATCCGTTCTCGCTGCTCTTACCACTTGTTGTCAGATGATGGCGTTGGCGAAAACCCAACTTGTTGATCTCAAACGTATCGTCGACCAACTAACCTTACGCTCTTAGCTGTGGCCCAAATACCTACCTACCGCTAACATACATCACAACCTTTTAAAAGCTGGTCGTGGGCGTCAAAGGCCGGTATATACGAAACTTCAGCATCATCAAACTAAAGTTAAACTGCGAACTCTCAGTCTGGCACACCTTTCACGCTCCAGCCCCTAGGCTCGGCCAAGAGATTACAATGCACGCACTATCCTGCTCTCCAACATCACGACCCAAGGGTATCCTCAAGAAGCCCAGCGGTCTTGACTTACAAATGCGACCCCGGAGCTTATCATCGGCATCGAAAAAGAGCACGGCGTTTGATGATGTCGCCCGGGATATCGTAACCGGAGCAGAGGTACCACAGAGCCCGATTCACTCCTCCGAGTACCGCGCCTTTCACAAAGAGTACCGCCAGGAAGTAGGAAGGGCACTCCTCCTCGCCAAGATTGACGGCATGTACGATGATGTGGTTCGACGACTCGAAGTGAAAGTAGAATCATGAGAGACAACCCTTTCATTTCCTCACGGTATCAAAATTATTCGACACGGAACATTAAACGACAAATGATGTTATGGCGTTATGGCGGGGCGTTGTATAACAGTGTGTCAATTTGGCTTTAACTCATACATACCCTTTAGGCGGCAGGAGTGTTGACGACTTTTCGACATCACATTAAAAAGTACCCATTTACTGCTAGTCGGTGGCTTTAGAGGTCCTTTGGGTGCTACTGAGTTCTCTTATCAGATCGAGTCGCGCTCACGCCAACAGGGCCAGCAACGGTATGCTTATGGGTGGAAAAACAATCATGTTTAACAGATCTGTAGGAAAAGGCAGGCGAGACGGGAATGTGTAAGCTAAAGATGGATTGTTTTAGGCCCCAGATTACCTTATCATCGTACTTCAGAACATGTTCACTGCAATATTAGCTCCTTTACCAGAATGCCCCTCAATATAACCCTGCCCAATCTGTTGCTCTCTTCTCTCATCGTCAACACCAATCTCATTACTTACATTCCCTTCTTTGGCCTTAACATGGGGAGACAAGGTGGTGTTTCGTCATATTTATACCCGATATCCTTTGGCACGAAACCAGCGCGCTCGAGGATTCCCATACCACGGCCGCCGCCATCGAGATAACAAGCGTACCCGAGATCATCAGAGAATTGAGCGACCCATCCCATGAGTGCTGTGGCGTACCCTCTGTGGCGCCACGTTGAACTTGTTATCAAGAATTCGATGTCTACAGTACCCAGACTAGGTGTCAGCTCTGAGTGGTGCGATGTTTGTATCCACAATCGTTGTCTCACCAACAATACTCATATCATGGCTCAACATCGGATCGGACGTGAGATTGAAAGTAGCAGCATCGGGTGTTATACATCAGGGATAACGCAACGGAAACACTTACACACGTGTCCCTCTTTGCCCACAGTTAGGTGGTGCGCCTTCGCCAAGGGCTCGAAGAAGTTGGCCAAGCGTTCTTCATTGACATCGGGAAGATCGTCAGCGCGGCTCCAGCGCCGTTTCCACGAGCTGCCGACGACTGTCTGCCCTGGTTTTGCGACAGTTACGATAGCAAAAGAGACTGGTCTTCCTGTTGTGGTCATAATTCAGTTTCGGGCCAAGGTAAGTTTCAATTCATGTATCGCCAACTCCTAAACCAAGAATCTGACTAAACGTATCGAAAGCCGGAGTCTCGGCCGATTTGACATACCATTAGGGCTCCGCACCACGGGCACCTTGCTCTGTGGACGATAGTACGACTGTTGGCCGAGGAAGTTCTGGAAGCTGCGCTCCAACCACATGCGCCCGCCATCCGTGTGCGGGAAAGTTGATTCGGCCGGTCCGCTGAACGCTTCCCAGAATATACGGATTAAATCGGGAATATCGTCTGGCGTCGCTAGGCTGACTTGGGCTGTCAGTACTTTACTGTCCGTATGCGCTGCCATCATGTGACTAGACTGGTTGGATATCTAGTTCTCAAGGGTACTTTCGAGCGCAGGTTGTCCTTCTGATGTCTAAACTGTCTCGTCTTGAATAAGGTAATGGGGAATATTCAGATAGATCGACTGCGACAGCTTGATTCCTAGCGGAGATTATTCCGACACCACCGTAGATATTCGAGACGCTTAGAGATGCTTAAGTGACATCTTAGATCATCGCATCGCTTTAGCAGCCAAGAGTTGGACGACGTAGAGATGAGCTTATTGCGAATACGGCTGACCGTTCCAACTCTAATCCTATCGAACCCATCGATGAACCCGGAGTGTTGAAATATCATATCCTGATAGGGTTAAGAGAGCGTTATCACGTCATTGACCCAGGTAGTTCATATCATCCCATAGAGCAGATGATGTAATAATGCGGGCATCCGAGTAAATACACCATCTACGGCCCCATGAAAGTATCAGAACAATAAAAACGAACCCATGCTTTTCTTAACAACATATAATATTGAATTGACCAGAATAGCTAGATTGACGGAGGTTTCTGTTGAAACGGAACGAAGGCAATATTGCATCGTAATTGTGACCTGATTAGAATATGTCCGCACAAAGCACAGGCAAATACTGGACATGCCAATCCATGTCGCCCCGACCTATCTTATATGAATGATCGTAAAAACCGGGAAAGTCCAACAAGTACTCGCCCGGTTAGCTCAATCGGTAGAGCGTGAGACTCTTAATCTCAAGGTTGCGGGTGAGTAGCACATTCGTACATAGAAAAAAAAAAAAAAAAAGTGCAGCAAAATTTACTAATTCCCGCTAGGTTCGACCCCCGCATCGGGCTCAATTCCTGATGCTTCCCAGGTCACTGGGAATAGCGACTAGTCGTCTTTATTTTCTTTTTCTTTCTTAGTATTTTCTCGTTCTCACCCTCCACAATCAGTTTACTTTCGTGTCTCTATTTTTTCCTGTTTCTTAGTTAGCACAAGTAGGTCGCAAATCAACTTTGAGATTAGGTTGCTATCTGTCCGATAAAGAATACTTTTTTCATAGTTATCCTAAATGCTTCATCTATGGCGTTTCCTTCACACGGCGGTTATACTACTCTGTAAGATCTCAATATGAAACCAGATTAAGCCTGGGTGCGCATGCCGCTTTAAAGACTTAAGTACAAATGACCCAGACTACCGGTAGCTAAACCTAGGCTATCTGTGGTAGTCGTCAGCTCAACACATTGTAGCGTCGTCAATTGCGATGAATTTCGAAACTGTATCATGGCCAATAAGCAAGGATGCAATTATCTAATTGCTGCCGACCGCATACACTAGTGTACGCCGCAGCTGCAGACAAGCGGCAATCAACCACGTTTCTCAAATGATTTGATATCCTCAGAAACAAATCAGCCTCTCGAAAACTGCATAGATTTTCGTCTAGCTGCCTTAGGTAGTGAGTGACGCCCAAGAGGCGCCGATATGCCGTAGTGGGTAAGACTTGGCCGTTCCCACTGATAATCACAAGCAGCGTCCTCTACAATAAATTTATAAGGAGAATAGCTGACCAGGGCGAGAACAGTAATAATGGTGTAACCAAACGAGCCGGGGGCGACGAAGCAATATTGATTGTCAGAAAATTCCCATGAAAAAGCGCCCCCAATAAGCTGTATGCTGCATTGTTGATAACGCAATCTTGGTAGACTAGACCAGACCGAACGACTTGAGTCCCCGCCTGTCATCTTGTGTCTCACCATGTCCTGTGCTAAAATTACATCTCCGTCTACTGTAAAATGTCCCATCTTCCTTCACATCTCTACCTCGCCATTCAGCTGCTTTGCTTGGCCCAAATGAACTCTTGTTTCCTGCGTTACAACGATACAGTATATTAGGTAGCTCGGGCGTTGTGCCGGCACGTATAATAGGAGCGTAGTACCCCGATGGTGGGGTTTTATGACTATGGCTCAATACCTCTTAATCGGGGTAACTGTGCTTCTCGCGGTCGCTTGGGCTGTACAGCAGCTCTTCTTCACAATTCGATATCCGTCGAATCTGCCCAGGATTGGCGGCAGATCTCGCTTTAGTCTGCGAACACGATGGAGGTATCACACAGACGCTCAAGGCCTGTACAAGGAGGTCTATGATAATGTGAGTGTTGTTATGATCAAAATACGACAACTGACAACGTCTTGCTGCCGCCCGATCGCTCATAAAGGATACTTAGTACTCGAAGAAGGGCAAGACCGTACTGGCCCCCGGGCTCGGGTTCCGTGACGATGTGATTCTACCGCCAAATGCTCTACGCTGGCTACAGCGCCAGCCCGAACGCCTGGTCAGCGCGATAGCCGCGCAAACTGACACTATCCAACCTTACTATGGCTTCGGACATGACAAATTCGCCTCGGATCCTTGGGGTGGATTGCTGGTGAAAACAGATCTGAATGCAGTTTTAGAGACCGTCTGTGCTGGCATGAATGACGAGCTAGGCCTCGCAATCGCTTCCCAGTTCGGAACCGATACGGAAGCCTGGAAAGAGATCAACTTAATGTCTGCGGCTCGTATGATCGTAGCGCAGGCCGCTACCCGATTCACTTTAGGAGGATCACCTGCCGGCCGTATATTATGTGAGTTATATGCATTTCGCCGTCCTGCACGACACTGAACATAGAATATCCACTAAACTGCCTTCAGGCAGCGAGAAGGCATATCTAAATGCGTGTCTCGACAACGCAGACGCGCTTGTGATTAGCGCAGGTCTAGGTGGTGCAAGCCCGAAGCTTCTGAGGCCAATCTTAGGTCGCATTGGTGCTTGGGGTGCTAAGCGAGAGATCATAAAACTTGAGAAGTATTTTGAGCCAGTATACAGGGAGAGAATAGAGATGCTAAAAAAGGAAGCAACGAACCCAGGCATGGAGATGCCGGTGGATCACCTTCAGATGATGCTGCGTTATGGTCTGAAAGAGCGACGCGATGAAGCCCTAAGTCTACGCGACATGACGAAGAGGCTATGTATCTCCAACTTCGGCTCAATGCACCAGACGAGCATTCAGGTTGTGAACATGCTTCTCAACATTATAGACTCGGACGCCGAATTTGACACCATATCCGTCTTGCGTGACGAGGTCGCTCAAGTGATCGGTAGCGACAAGACATCTGGCTGGAACAAGACCAAGGTAACAGCTTTGATGCGGGCCGACAGCGTGGCCCGCGAGACACTGCGTCTAAACTCTTTTTCGTCGCGCAGTGTAGCACGCAAGATTATGGGCGGCGGAGTGGTGACCGAGGACGGGATTGCTCTACCTAAAGGGTGCACGGTATCATTGATTGCCTACTGGTTGCAGACAGACGAGGACATCTTCGAGAACCCGTTCAAATACGACCCATTCCGATTCTCGCGTGCTCGCGAGGCAGAATTGGACGAACAGGGGAAGCCAGGCCTTCCTAGTCTAAGCTTTGTATCAACGGGGACGCAAAACCTTGCCTTCAGTCATGGGAAGCATGCCTGTCCAGGGCGATTCCTCGTCGACTTCGAGCTGAAAATGATCATCGCATACGTGTTGATGAACTACGACCTCGAGTTTCCGCCCGAATACAAGGGCAGGAGACCACAGGCTCATTGGGTTACGGACGCGGTTTTTCCTCCGGAAGACGCCATAATTAGAGTCAGAAGGAAAGTACGTGCAGGGTAAATGCTGTGCAGGATGTCTCGGTCATATATTACAAATACAAATAGAGCTGGCCTCAACGTTCATAGTCTCCACTGCGTGAGATATCTGCCGCCGTCTCTCTACTCTTACACCCGCGACTTTTTGTGGCGGATATCATTACAGTGACTATAACACTAGATTTTGACGTAGTCATCCCGGGAGACGCCCGTTGGGCTTTTGAGTGTGTAATCACATGCTTGCGCCGCATCAGTTACCATTACCGCGAGCTAGCTGCAACGGCCGACTGAGGCTTGTAACCATGACCAAATACATGCTTGCAATGATGCAACCCCCGTAATAATTTCACAATCTCCTTGATAGCTACTTCAATTATCATAGCGAAAAGGTCTTGCTTAAGAAAGGAAGAGGCGGTGGGCTTGTTGAGAATAAAATGATTGCTCGAGATCTATCAATATGCACGTAGGTTCCTCAGGTCGGATCTCAGGTGTAGAGACACATCGCTTTGCATAGACTAATCTAGACAGGACTCAATAACCTTTGACATCTCGTCATGGTCAAAACCTTACTCAACATAAGCCGGTAGTAATGATACTGAATTTATGCGCATGTCCTGTTGGCCGCCTTGTCTAGGGTGGTGATGCACCTATTGGTCGATCGTAGGGACAATATCTATGCCCTACGAGTCGTTGCTACTTAATTGTGATTGCCACCAACAGTAACACAGTTTCAACGCTCTAGCGTATAGACGATATGTTACAGCAAATCGTTTGACTGTTGCGAACAATGAATTCTGCATGTTGACTAGATGGTCGTCGGCTTCTTCGTCGGAATCCGGCTCACCCTTCTTGCCAAGGATATGGGCTATTAGAGTAGCAGTATAAGCAAGCAAAGTAAATTATACGCGGAAGTGATTAGTACGGCTAGCCGACCATCAAAACTCTTTTGGTTCATTCTAATTCTATCCCGGTCGACGCGAAGTCATGTATCACGCAAAGTAGCTGGAGAACCTTGCATATTCCCTTAAAATTAATTACAAATGCTATGTATAATCTAATCTAACAGAGTGGCTACGATACATGCTTTATATCCCAATACGCTGCTTACTAGACTCAATGGTTGCAACCAATTTGTTGTGTTGCTTCTCCCAGCGACTCCCATCGAGCCGATGCTCACTCTCAAGATGGCGGGTTAGGTCAACGTTCCTGATAAAAGTGAGGCTTATTACGAAAGCGACGACAGAGATGCCGAAATAGAAAGAAAAGACTCCAGTGAATCCAAACTTGTAAGCTTCCATCACGTTATTTTTATAGGGGCCGGGATGAAGCCCATGTAAGACGCTGATGTAGCTTTCGGCTTGCTTTGCAATCTCAACCGGAAGTCCGAGCGACCGTAGCTTGATTGCCATCACGTTCTGAAATGTGGTACCGCCGATGCCGACTCCCAGAGCCATGCCGAACTGCCGGACGAAGGCGTACATTGAAGCGGCGGCGGCCTCGTCGCCTTGTTTACACATAGCTTGGGTGGCAAAATTCTGCGCATTGAGAATAGCACCTTGTCCCACGCCAATAACGAGATATGTTATAGTCCAGACAGCCGCGCTATCATTATGCGGCCAGATAAGGAATAGTCCGGCACCGATACTGGCGATGAACCAACCGACCTGGATGGGCCAACGGTAGTGATTGTAGCGTGTTACGAGGCGACCGCAGATGATACCGGCAATGGTTACGGTCAGGGTCGCTGGTAACATTCCGATGCCGGTGTCAAGCGGGGAATATCCTTTTACAGATAAGAAGTAGAATGGACCACTACACTCTCGTGTTAAACGCGGTCGCTTAGTTGGGAGTTCTCAGTGAATGAATATACTTACTAGTACAGTAGCCCGTATAGCTATCGTAATACATAGATCAGCTTCAAATAGCATTACTAGACTAAGGAAGGGGTAAGGGTCTTCTTACTACCATGCCCTGAATGGAACCGCATATATAGCCTACGATCGAGGAGGCGTTATGGTATAGGCTGTGTCGTAAGAAAGCCTGCTTTGCCCAGAATCTTTCGTACACCAGAGTGAAGAGCAAGCCCACGAAGCCGAGTATCAAGGGGACCAGAGTTTGAATGCTAGCCCATTCGAACTGCATCGAGATATGGTTAGCATGGCGATTATTCTCTCTTATCACAACGCCAAT